CATTGACCCCAGGGATTTATCAGTACCTTCTCAGGGGCCGAAATTCGGCCCCATTCCCAATTGAAAATGAGTTTAGTTTTTCCCAATTTGGCAGTATTTTTTCCCAATTGGTGAACAAAGATTTTATATTTAATATTCTTGGAAAAACACAAAGTAAAATTGTCAGAATGTCTGTAATTTTCATCTATTCAACTCATTTAGCAAAGCTACAGTCATAACAGATGTTTAAAAAACACTGAAAACATCGCCAACTTTTTATCCGAATTTCCTCCGTTTTTCTGAAAATGGTGATATTGTGTAATTATATAGATTTAGTAAGTTATTTTTACCTACTCAATTGATCTGCGAGTGAATGGTAAGGACTGTAGGCATTATTTCAAATAGAGAAAAATATATTTTCATTGCATTAATACATATTAAAAGAGGACTTTGAGAAAATGTGTACTTAGTATAATTTTTTGCAGGAGGATTATAATCTCCAGAAACAGACTCTATAATGACCTAAATTGGAATCTCATACACACATGTACTACCCTAAGTTGTATAAACACTTATTTAATACTCATTGAAGTCAATTTTACTTTTATTAGTCTATTATTCATAATTGATCTTGAGTGAAGTTGGATCATGTTTAATTGTCTGTTTAGTTGCCCAAATCGGAGTTCATGCTGAAATGTTAATAGCGATTCTCTGTAACCACTTAAACTTCTTTGCCATGCATGGTCACCGATTTTCATGAAACTTTGCCCATTATTACAACTTGACACCAGAAACATATATCAAACAAAATTTCGTTGCTATGTGTCTTGGTTGCCATGGTAACAGCCAGAAAAGTTGAAAAAAATTGAGATTTTCAGCTACTTCGAATCTTTATTCAACCTTAATAAAGACTAAGAAAAACAAACAAACCATTCTCACAAAAACATGACACCTTGTTGCCACTTATGCTATAAAGAAATTATTTAGAATTTATCTCTAAGTGAGTGGTAACCATGGGTACATTTGGAATACATTTTAGATGCTGAAAAATGCTGAAAAACGCTCAATATTCACAAATGATAGATGTTACATGATCAAACTCAATCAACAACTTAAGAAAAACAATAAAAAATATTTGACCTTAAGTAATCAGGTATTGGCAATATTATTCTAAAAATAACTTTCATGGTTGCCATGGTAACACAGTGTTACAATGCAAAATCTGTTGCTATGATTGGTTTAATGCTACTATCTTGAGGAAAAACAATAAAATTCATGACTGGCACATATACATCCTTAGGACCTTGCAACACCAACAACATAAAAAAAATTGGGATTAATTGTTTTTCTGCAGTGTAACCATGGAAACAACGTACTAGTTGTTTAAAGTGATATATTTTTTGCTGCTTTAGGAATTTACTTACCTTTTAATCAAGAAACATATTATTTGACTAACCTTGAATAGTACTTATCTGGTAGAACTAAAGTTGAATATCATATATTGATAAAGTTTGTTGAAAAATACAACACTGTTGCTATGGTTACCAAGAAGTGAAAATGTTTGATTTTGTTAATTTTATATCAAAATTAAACCCTATGTGCCAGCTTTTTGCATCCAGTTAGAGATTGGGTGGTAGTCAAAATTGAAAGTCAGGTTAGTTATTCGTAAATATCAATCATAAAAGTTTTGGGAATCTACATACAAGGGTACGTATCCAAGGAAACATAATATTTTTCACATTTTTAAGCATATTTTTTCGGCTAATTTCCATAGCAATGCTCTATTTAAAGAATTAAATTTGAAATTTTTGAAATGTGAAAATTAGGGTCACACCAACGCCTTTAAAAATTGATCATCAGTTATATAGAAATATGTTTTTTAAAAAGATAGGATAAGATTGAAACACTAAGAGAACAAATTCAAAACCCCTTCGTGGTATTAAAACCATGGCAACCATTGCCAACCCATAAGAAATATCATACTTCGTCCTTGGCATATGTTTCAAGGATCTTTTGTCTATTATTTGCTTGCTTTTCAACCTATAATTTTTTTATTATTATGTGTATGACTTTTTAAAATTAAATGAACAAAATTATTACTTTTAAATACTTTGTTTCCATAGTAACGTATATAACAGCTGGTTTACCAAACTTGTTTATCAAATATTTAAGACACCAGACCTTCAACTTTCAGAAACAATCATTACCACTTGTTTGCTTTGCCACAAACGTTAATTGTGGGACTCTGAACATGTTGAAAAATGCCATTTTTTTTAACTTTAGGATGTGTTGCTATGGAAACCATGACACATAGCAACCAATTTTTGCCTGATTTGAGTTTAAGGTATCAAAGACTTTTATCATAGAGAGTTTGAAGAAATTCTGAGACTATGCGTGCCACAGCTCCTATATAAAAGTTCAAGTCATTACAGAGAATGGCTCTTAAATGATTTACACCTGAATACACGATTTAAGCAATATTTTTAATTTTTCCCAATTTCATCAAAAAGCCGATAAATTTTTTCCCAATTCCCAAAAAATGGCATTTCCCAAAAAAAGGCTGATAAATCCCTGGACCTTGGTGTCATTTGAAAGAACTTAATTAGTGGAGTATGCATACCAAATATGAAGTCTCTATCTCTCATGGTTCAAAAATTATGGTGAAGGTTCAAAAAGGCTATTTTTAGCATATAGGTCACAGTCAAGGTCACAAAGTCATTGACCTTGGTGCCATTTGAAAGAACTTAATTAGTGGAGTATGCATACCAAATGTGAAGTCTCTATCTCTCATGGTTCAAAAGTTATGGCGAAGGTTAAAGTTGACAACAGACAGACAGGACATAAACAATATGCGCCCCCGATCTATCAATCCGGGTGCATAACAAATGTGTATAATTTATCATTAAAGATTCTTGAGCCCTCCTTACCAACACTGCAGCCCCCATCATATCTGTGGTACAGCTTCCCATGGTGGAGTTAGCATTGGCAACCGTCTGCGTTGAGTTCTCAGCTGTGTAGATTTTACTCAAAGGTATACCAAGAGCTCTGGAGGCAATCTACAATGAGGTCAAATCTAAGATTTAGTTTCAAAAGCATTCCATACCTTTTCTTTAAACTTACTACAAATTTATTAATAGAGAATTCTGTTGATTAACATGTTTAATACTAAATGCTTGTAATAAAATGGAGTTCTGTGATATTATAAATGAAGAAGCAAGTACCTGCAGAAGTTTCATGTTCAGACCTTGTCCCATCTCACACCCACCATGTGATAAACTTACAGAACCATCCAAGTATACATGTATTAAAGCATTGCCCTGTAAATAAAAGTTAAAGTTTTTTCATTAAAAAATTATTTAACTCTCAGTCTGGTCCCCACTATAATTCATTCCATTGGACATATTATCATCAATATCCTTCAACCAACATTTTGGAGAATAAGGAAAAAAAACCCTTCATTTTCTGCATTTGAACTTTGAACTGTTTTTAAAATTTGTGGCACACACTAATACTGAATAGTAACCTGGTTAAGAAAAGGGAGATCAAAACCAATCTTAAACCTGACTGCCATCATTGCTAGGCCCCTCTTTCTGTGTTTACATTTTCTGAAAGTGTTGGAAAAAAACAAGCTAGAAAAAATAATTCTTTCCTTTTATAGTTCATGTATTTTTTCAAGCAAGCAAACATTCTGTTGAAAATTGCCATAAATAAATGTACATCTCTCTTACGCATTAAATGCAGCGACTTCTGCTTCTTTTTTGGCGTACTGGGCCTGCTCCTGGCATTGGTGCCATGCCTTCAGCATGGTTGTGTCCTCAACTGGGAGTTTGGTAAATGGTACAAATCCAGTCTTTGCGAAATTAACTTCCTGAACCTAATTAAGAAAATACATGTATACATGCATGTGATTCTTTTAAAAGCAGTCTCAAAAGAGCTTTAAAGCTAGTATCTCATATGTTGAAAGTGATGTTTTGCAGTACTTGGTCCTATACACATTACTTAGAAACTTAATTACCTGTTTAGCAGGCATGTTCAGGGCATGTGCAATGTGATCAATTATTGTTTCCATTGCAACATATGCTTGTGGAACACCGAATCCACGACATGAAGTGTTGGATATTGTGTTTGTTCTACACAGTCGACCCTCAATTTGGACATTTGGTATGGAGTAACACCCCTCTAGGTGGTCCACTGTACATTCCAAAACCTATTATAATTATGGATACATGTACAGGTACAATGTAAAGATACATGTACAATTTGTATGTGATTATGTTTCAAATGTGACAGATATAATATCATAAAAAAGCAATCAGAAAATCTTTCCTTTAAATATAGCCTTGAATAACAATAAATCATTACTTTAACATTAAAGAATTTAAGTACAAGTCAAAACTTGTCTAACCTCTAGGGATAAATCTTGAGCACATCCGGCGTCTGAGTAAACTTTAACATGCAGACTTTCTATTTTACCACCTTTACAAAATCCCACCTACATTTAAATGAACAAAAGCAAAATGCCAATAAGAGAGAAAATGGTACACAAATCTGTAACAAAGCTTATAACACTGAGATTGTCAATAAATACATAAGGCAGCAGACCTTGTACTTGAACAAATAAGGATGACGTTTTCCTGTAATGGTCAGATCCTCTTTCCTGGTCAGTATACCTCGGACAGGGCAACAGTTCCTAAAAAGATATATACAATGAATTATATGTATATAAAAATAAACATGCATATTATTAACAATTTATGAATAAGACACCCTATTTAGATTTTAGATTTTGACAACGATTTAATTTCTAGGTGAACCAGATCTGGTTGTGAACAGTAATTAATTTTCCAGATGAACCAGGTCTGGCACAAAATTAGCTTGCAATGATAGTTTCAGATTATGCCAAGTTTAAGAACAGTAGGAATGGTACATTTATATACAGTACATATACATGTATGTTGCATGAAGGAGATTTCTAATAAAATATGTACATAAAAACAACATTGCTTCAATAACAATACATTCAAGTGGAAAGGCCATGAGAGAACAGAACTGAACCTGCCTCTGTGCGGCTAGGGCTACTGGAGCGCAGATCTTCACTGGTTGAGTTTCCTTACCTCCAAACCCACCACCTGATAAGGACGATATGGGTTATCAATGGTGTGCAACTATTCAATCTAATTAAAATTAGATGTTCCGAATCCGCTACCGCTTCTCAAACATCTAACAACATCCCATTCGGGGTCACGTCAGAGCGACCTTTCGATTACCCAATGAAATCGCCGTCGTCGAAATCTTGGCTTATAGTTCGGATGCGATTCTTTTTTTACTGCCAAACCTAAACGCCCGAGGGGTTTCGTAGTAAACAAAATATGCATGGTAAAGACCGTGCTATATATGAATGTGACGTGGGGGATATATAGTAGTTTGTGCATTTTCGTTTGCGTTATTCAGGTAAGAATGCCAGACTGGCGGACTATAGTTCAATTTATACCAAAATTACTTTAATTCATCGTAAGACAGTCTACTGAGCATCAATAATGTAAAGAAGTAGCCGTGGAACTAATTTTAGAATTGTATACAGAAGGTCGAATCTGATTGGCCAAAATTTTTATGTTTATTCGTAATCGAAAGGTCGCTCTGACGTGACCCCGAATGGGATGTTGTTAGATGTTTGAGAAGCGGTAGCGGATTCGGAACATCTAATTTTAATTAGATTGGCAACTATTTCACTTATGTGGAAATACATTGGACTTTTACTATCGCAAACATATTACATGTATGTGATAGGAATTTACTCACCAGTTCTTTTGTGACGAACGATTACTCGGTTGATTGGTATTCCCAAAGTTGCAGCTATGGATTTCTACAAGAATAAAAACTAGTAGATGGTATGGATAAACTGTAAAAACAAGACTAGATATAGTGAGTACTGAGCTGACAAAATGATACACTCTGCCCACACATGAATATACCGGCAAAGTCCAAATTTTGCTATGGGAAAGTCCAAATATCTGTCCAATCAGAACATAGAATAGGAAGTGCACAATGGCACTATGTAAGAAAGATTCTATGAAAGTCTCATTAAATTTTATTCATGGGTATAGGAGGAGTTGTGGATAAGAGATGGGTACCCCACTATTATATAAAGTATGGCAGTGTCCAGGTTTTGCTATGGGAAACCCCAAATGTCTGTCCGATCAAACTGAAAAACAGAAGGTGCACAATGGCACTATGTTATAAAGATTCTGTAAAAGTCTCATTAAATTTTACTCAGTGGTATAGAAGGAGTTGCACATAAGAGATGAATACCCCCCTCTATGATATAGAAAGAATGGCAGTGTCCATGTTTTGCTATGGGAAACCCCAATTATCTTTATGATCGAAAAATAAAATAGCAGGTCACAATGGCATTTTGTAATAAAGACTCGGAAAGTCTCATTAAATTTCATTCAGTGGTTTGAGAGGAGTTGCGGATAAGAGATGGGCTCCAACGTGATAAAGACGTGATAAAGACGGAAAGAAAGTCCCTGCTTTTCAAGCGGGGTCTGGTATAAATAAAAAATTCCACTTTAAGTTTAAAGTTTAAAGGTGAAGCAAAAATTGTCAAATGTTTTTTCATCTATTATTTACTTAAAGATGCTCCTTAGAAAATATCTTTGAAAAGGAATTAAATTTAAATTTTAACTCTTGATTTTGATTCCCTATTACATAGAACAAGTATGTGTATACGACGATATAAACACACATACACACCTGAATAAAGGCAGGGGACTGGTGAGTAACAAACATTTCCAGCTCATGTTGTTCCCTTTTGGGCACCCCAATGGCTCCAATAGTCTCCATATAAAATTGTTCTTGAGCTCCAGTGCATATAGAACCCTCTAGGAGCTGATCCGAGTCTGTAAAGCCCTTAGAAACATCTCCACGACATCTTGAAATTGTTGCATCAAAGAATGAATCAGAATTAATGGCATCCTGAAGAAGCAGGAAAAAGTGGATAATTCATAATCAAAAGCTTAAAATGTAATTACTTTGGCTGTATGAAAATCTTACTTATTTTTATAGCAATTACATCTAAAAATGGTGATAATAATATAAGTATAAATACCTCAATACTTAAAATGGGTCTCATCTCCTGATACTTAATCCTGACTTTTTGTGCTCCAAGCTCAGCCTGTTCTCTAGTCTTGGCAATCACAGCACCAACTGGCTGTCCCCAGTAAACTACCTGACAGTGTGTAAAATAGCAGTGGATACATTAAGTTGAGATAATATTACCAAATCATACTTGTACTTTATCAAATCAAGATGCGTTTGTGAAAAATATGGCAGATCAAGGCCAATGTTAAAGTTTTTCAAAAGTAGGTCAAATGTAAAGGTCAAAAATTAATAGGTCGAAATATTGGTACCCAAAGAAAGTTCTTATTACAAGGAATATACATGTAAATTTGAAAGCCTAGCACCAACAGTTCAAAAGATATGGTCAAACACCAAGGTCAAGGTCATCTGGTAAAAAATTTGGGTATTTAAAGATAGGTCTTATTATAATGAATATACGTGTGAAATATGAAAGCCCTTACACCAACTATTAAAATGTTATGACCAAGGTCAAATTTAGGTTAAAGTGGTTAAAAAGTAGGTCAAACTCAAAGGTCAAGTTCATGAGGTCGGATATGTTATCATCCAAAGAAAGTTCTTGTCACAAGAAATACATATGTGAAATATGAAAGACCTAGCAACAGCTTATTAAAAGTTATAGCCAAGGTACAGACAAACAGGTGACCACAAAATATAATCCCCTGAATCTCTGATTATGGGGGCATGAAAATTAAACACTTTAGGTGGGAGAAAAATAACTGCCTAAAGTTTTCTTTTCAGTTTCTAAAGAAAGTTTCTTCAGTTTTCAGTTTGTGACAATTAATTTATATACATGTAAATGTCACAGATGTAATGTTTTAATTTGTACATAAAATTGGCGCGCATTGCCAATCGAATGCGTTCGCTGCGTTTGTTTGTGTCATGTTTTGTGTGAATGTTTTGGAAGATCATGTGACATTGTTTATTTTTGTATTTCCACGTGTTTCCGGTTAGGTGTCCTAATGTGACCTTACAGCTGACCAATAACCGACTGTTTTTATCTTATTAATATGCATGTTTTAATTTCTGCACCCAGTATATAAGCCTAGTACCCGCCAATTCTCGACCCCCACGCTTTTTTACCTTTACGGTAGAAGTCTGTACATGTATTTGAAACATATAAGTATTCTGTAAAGTATTACTTGGAGTTAATTTAACTGGATTCCTGGTAAGCTTTCCGTTTACCTTTATTATAATTATTATATAAATGTATTTTATAATTTACTTTTATTAATTAATCCCGACAGCGAACAATCATATAATTTATGTGTTGTTAATGTCTGATGTTAAATGTAAAGTATTTGTTTTGTGTGTGTATTGTGTTGTGAGAGTGTGTTTAATTTATACTTTGTAGGTTTTTTGTTATAAGCACAGTAAATAAATATAGTTGTGCCGAATCCAGTGTTTGATTTTTATCCTACAAAAGACCCGGTGACATATATATTTATTTATCTTGTGATTTTGTTCTGCAGTGAAAAAAAAGCTGCTTCCAGTCATGGAACATGAATTTTTTTGTATATTACTAAAATATATCAGGAAAACCTCTTTGGATGCAAATAATTCCTCATCGCTGACTATCATTCCCCACATGTTGCTGCCTGGGACAGATGTATGGTCAATACAATCCACCACCCCTGGAGAATCCCTGGCACCAGACCAGTCAACACTAACAAGCTCTGCCCGTGCCATTTTGCTCAAGACCAAACAAAGATAGAGTTCATCTAAAAGTAACAGCTAGACATTAAAGCATCAAATAAAAAATACAAACAAATTACAGAACCAAAAGTTGATAAAAATGTTAAAGCTTATCAGTATGAGAAACCTACTCTGGAATGCTGGCATGTCATCAATGAACATGGCCTGTCCTGACACCAAATCCTCAGCAGTAGTTTGGGGGATTGGCCTCCACACAGGATCAGACTGTGGCTGTTCAGTTGGGGCACTATCAAAGACAATGTTAGACCTACATGGCTCTGGTTGAGTCTGGATGGGGAGTCTCTCTTCTTTGGTTTGCTGTAAGTATTCATAGTCTCTCTAAGATTCATCAGCCCTCTGCTCACTCATATAAAATTTTGTTTTAATGCTATTGACTTTCCAAAAGAAATATAATTTGTAATTAAAATGAACACAATGTATACCTTGCAGGGCAAAATTTGACAGAAATGGCCTTTTACAAAGTCCCAGTGAGAGTTATCTCTCTTATCAGAAGGGCAATAAACTTTAAATGTATTTTCCCATGATTTTGAGTCATTGTGTCATTGTTATGCTTGACACATAATACTTACTGCATCTATAGAAGTTTGAACTTTGTTCATGAAGCCAAGAGAAAGAAGCAGTAATTCTTCCTTCACATCTACTTCTTCCTCAGTAAATCCTTTTCTTAGCAGACACTCTAGATTAGCAAATGAAAGACTTTTCCATGTCCTAGTTAGGGAAAACCAATTTTTTTTAAATACAAGCATGTTAAAAAATTAATTTCAATGTACATGTATTCCTATTAATACATACAAGTACAAGTAACAAAAGCAAGGTTGTTTGGGGGGGGGGGGGGGGGGGACATGAGTACAAGGCCAAGTAATGCATGACTGAGTGTCCCCGTATGAATAATGGTTGATATATCCGTAGATGATTATGAAATGCTTATTGGGGGAAAGTATGATTATAGGGTTGAATCATGTTTTGCATTTTCATGGCAAATGTTATCGGTGAAACTGTGCACTGGGAATGTCGGTGGATAACTCATGCTTGCATTTAACAAGCATGACCTAACAATGGTCACACACCCACTGGCATCATTGTCAGGCACTTCTCTTTAATAGACATGCAGTTGTCAGAAGCTTGAACAACTGTTATATCATTAGATTAAACTTATACATAATGAAATGAAGGAGCTGAATAATGAAGGAATAATAAATTGGTAAAAATTCACAATAATTATTATTACATGTATAATAGGGTATCATGTATATCATAGATTATTTAAGCTACGATAATGATCCAATCAAATAGCATTCAGCATTGAATACACACTACTGTGACTAGTATTATACAATGATTCTTTTTCTATTCAAATGCTAAAAAAAGAGAAAAACAAACTTCTCTTCAACACTTGCCTCTCCGCATCAAACAAATCATCAGAAAGGACTACTTTTACAAGATGTTGAGTAAATCCTCCAAAACAAGCAGTGAAATGCCTCACAATTCCCTCCTGGGTGATACCTAATACCACAGCACAACTGACACCAATCCCATTATAACCTCGTCTTTTTGGTTGTTTGTAGAACATGACACTCTGGAACTAAAACATAATTCCGATGAATTAAAGAGGACCCAATATTGACAATCTTGACAAACATAGATAGATGTGTTTTAGTAATACAGTGTACTACCTCACTTTGGAAGGGTATGTGGATATCCAATATAAGCTCCTTCACTCTTTGTTCATCAGACAAATACTTTTCTACTGTCATTTTGTGTATTGTTCCTAGATTAAAGACAAATGAAAAGTACACTACTACAATCATCTATAAAAGTTTGTCTGGCCAATTTTAACTTCTGAAACTTGTGGGCTTGACCTTGTTTAAATGACCTCGAGTTAACATTAGATACACCGTGTTTGTCTCAAGTGTAAGCATCTAATGTTACTTCATTCCAAAATTTGGCTAGAAAAATAAAACTGTTGAATCCTGTGACCTTGACCACATGTACATGACCTCTGAATATGGGTGAAACATTTCATGGTCACAAGCTACCTTTATATTAAGCATAAGCTTCGAATGTTTCTTGTTTCAAAGTTTCGTCTAGACAAGAATTTTACTCTTCTTATCTTTGTCTCAAAAGTTACAGTGTATGTACTATGAACCATTAAAAGAAAAACAAACTCTTTTTAATCTGCCAACAAATTAGTCAGAAAATACCAGTTGCACATATTGAAATGGTATGTATTATTTCTACAAAGTCTAGGGAAAAATATTTATTCAAAGTTTTCAAAATGTCTCCATATGAATAAATGTCCAGAACATAGACAGACCTAATGACTCTAGTACAAGAGTACAATGTACATGTACATGCATGCATATAACAGATTAAAATATGCAAAGTTGTTTTCTTACCAGTGATGTCCATTAAATTAACTGTGGCATCTAAGGCAACTAACAGTGGGATCATGTCTAGATTATTACCCTGGCAAGCTAAGTGACCACCAATAGTCTACAACAAAATGTTAACACTCACATATACAAAGTCATAAAAATAAAACAAAAAATTGGATTGTGAGAAATACTGGAATATCTTGCATAGTATTTAAGCATAGAAACATTTTTGTGACATTGTGTTTTAGGCAATCAATGTCAACAGTTAATTTTTAATCCAATGACCATACTTTTATGATTTAAATTACTGGATGCATCAATAAACCAGTATTCAAACAAATGTTGCAAGTATTGTAAACTCACTGCAACATTACGTATCTGATCGGTGGCAAGCCATCGAATACAATCCAAGAAAGACTGCAATATTTGTAATCTGTTGGTCTCTATATTAAAAGTGTAAATGATATTATATATTTAAACATTATATTTTTCAAAGTATATAGGATAAGAATTTCATCAATATGGGATAAACTGATTTTAAAAACAAACCACTGTAAGATACATGTATTTTCAAAATCTGCTCCCTCTAAGCACTGTTACAATAAGAGAGTTGTAATTCACTCGTCTTGAGTGTAATAGATAAGGGAGGATCAAATCTCTTACCAAATTTGTCACTAAATTGTCCAACAATGCAAATTTCCATTTGAAGTTTGGTAGATAAAAGTAAAGATCAAACCTTTGATGGTTTCTTTTGCCTTTGTGAAGAACTCCTCCATTGCACTGAATGTAACAGCAGCCCTAACATCTATACCTGTATCGCTGATGGACATTTTCTGTAGATCACCAACTTGATGACAACTAATAAAGCAAGAACTCCTTTCTTCACTTCCTTTTATTAATTTTCCTGTCAAATTTTGAAGAAAAAAAACTTAAATGATGGTTATTTGAGCAGATGAATACTTAACATCTCATATGTATGTAATATTTACATCAAATTGCCTCCCGAACATTAATAAAATTAACAGAAAGAATTTCAAAATAAATACATGTATTTTATTTAGCAGACTTTATTATTGGAATTTTCTCCCCAAATGACCCGCAGTTATTTCTTTTAAATATTCTAGTAAACTGTATTTGTGATAATTAAATCCTGATCTTAAGATAAAATTAAAGTACAGTGAGTACCCAGAGCTGTGACACCAGCAACAAATCGTGCTGTTGGGTTCTCTGTCCAAGCTGTTTTGAGATGTTCCATACTGAATGGGACAATCCAAGTGGTCAATCCAAAACTTAGCAAAAGCTTGTTATTGGGAGGTTTCCATTTCTACAAACACAGTTCAACTGGAAATCAAAAATGTTGCCCATCTCAAGTTTTAAAATTGTACATTGTACATAGAAAATATAAGTCTGATTCAAATATCTACTTCATGTATTACATATTTTTTTTTAAATCTATCTGTACTTTGCTTATTTCTTTGAAGAGATGCAAGTTTAATTTTCTTTCAGCAGACAGGAGGATTGGTGATTTATAAATCTTTCTTACCTTTAGTTCTGGAGGGAAAATAACAGTCTGTGTAGAATCTATTGTCTTGTATTCAGAGATATTTTCATCACCTTCCTATGATAAACATTATAAAAGTAAAGTTAGTAAAAATGAAATTTGCACTAATAATATGTTTAATCGAAAATGTAATATTTTTAAATTAATTTCAAAGAGTGAAAACAAAAACATTTTACCAATTTCTTTGTCTCCAATTTGCAACAATTTTCTCCCAAAGGACAATCCTAGAAATACATAACAAATTGTTAAGTTTGAATCAATCTTGTATACCGGTATAATACAAGTATAATTTTAAAAAATTAATAAAGTAAAATTATTGTTATTTCAATTTTTTATCATTTTTATTCATCATCATTGCTTACAACAAAAGGTTTCATTGAATCCAAAATAGGACGATATCCAGTACATCTACACAAATTTCCTGCAAAAAGAGGTAGATAGTACAGGCCAATGAAACAGTCTTTTTATGAAATCTAAACGGCAAGTTGTAACATTTTACATATAAAAATATTTACTTATGCATGCCTATATAACATTTAAAAACTGTAAAAATTCAATTATGTTAAAACCTTCGATGGCTCTTTCCACATCATACTTGGTAGGTGTTGGATTATTCCGCAGTAAACAAGAAAGGGAGACAACCATTCCAGGAGTGCAGAATCCACATTGAATACCATGGCTTTTTACCAAACTTTCCTAAAATATTATGATATTTATCACATCATCTATGGGCTAAATCAGAGATTCAACATTGGACTTTCAACACATTTTTTATTTTTTTCAAAGTCTAAAAAATTAAATTATATTAGTGGTTAATGGTTTGGTTGTTTGTATAGTGGATGTTCAATAAATTTTTGAGAGTAAAATGACTGTATACATGTACCTGAACTGGGTGTAACCCATCACGTGGCGTACCTATACCTTCCACTGTAGTAACAGCACATCCGTGTAAGTAGTACAGTGGAGTGATACAAGCATTCACAGTCATATGTCTGCAAGGCCAAAGTACACAAGTCATGTTCATAAAGGCAAATGTACTACACATAAATGAAGAACATGCAATGAAATCCAACAATACATTCTCAGTCATGTATATGTGAGATCAATTAATGTACACACATTCATAATCATAAATGCAACACATACATTAACTATCACAAAATGAACATGCAAAGATGAAAAAATCATCAAATTAAAGAGAATTATATAACAATAACTGAACCTCGTCCATCAAAAAGCTCCATGTGAAGGCATTGAGTTCATGTTTGTTTGTTTGTTTGTTGTTTTTGCTGTGTCTCTACAAAGTTTCAACATTAAGTGTGAATCCATATCGAAATAATTGTATCTTATGCCACTCTAAATAAGAAAGCATAATCAATATGTATAAGCTCTACTGATTAACAGAGTATCATGCAATAAGCTCTACTGATTAACAGAGTATCATGCAGCAATTTTTCTAGGAATATTCTCAACACAAGCCCCCTATATGTCAGAAGTTAAATTTTCCTGATCATTTTTTGTACATGTATTAGAAGCCATGACCTAGACCTTGTGTCCCGGCCCAAGAAAATGACTGTGAATTAAGCTCTTCATCAGGAAAAGGCATGGCGAAGATATTCAAAACACATGTGAATCTTAAGATTCTGAAGATAAAAAGGTCCATTGCTTATTATGAAAATGCAATGATTTTAGACATTTTGGTCCCATCCTAAGGCCCCAGAGAGAGGCAATGACCATGAAGATTAATATTTTGGACTCTTCAATACATGCTTATGAACCAACTCCATGCAGTTAAAAAGTTTAAAAAGGAAGCTGAAAATTTCATAAGTTAATTAACACTCAATCCACACAGAGATCTTGAGGTCACCATAATGTCTATGAAGCTAAAAATGTCTAAGAAACTAAAATTGTTTAGGATCAATGACTCTTGTTTATGCTAGATTTCATGCTGAATTGTACTTCAAGCAAAAATGAGATGGCACTGTATTGCTTTTAAGATGAAATTAAACATTTAGTAAATGATTTACCTTATTTTTTGCAAATGATGGTCAAAATTTGACAAAATAACCGAGCATGCTCCACACTCTCCCTGTCCACAGGCATTCTTACTTCCTGTTAGGTGCACTTGCACGCAGGTTAAGGAAGATAAGAACATCAAAAAAGATAAAAAAAAAATGTGTTGTGAACATCAATTATTTGCTGGTTTGTATGATAAATTTAAAATACAATTAATTTGAAGGAATAATCAGTTAGAATTTTAGTTTCAAACTTTAGTTGACAACAAAAATTATTGAAAAATTATTGCAAAAAGTTACCGAAAGTACCGGTACTTGAAGAGGAAAAAGGATACATCTATTTCTGAGATAAAACAACAGTGTTGTTCCATATTCTAAATCATTACCATTCACCTCAATCTGCCAAAAAAAAAATTTTTCTTAAGATGCATTTGTCCATAATAAACAATACCTGTTTGTATGGTTTTGTGTTTCATCTCACTATTTGATAAAAAAAAATATATATCTATCTCATAAAATTGTAAGTAATTAAAATGGAAAGATTCCCAATGATGCCATTAAAGAAGGAATTTAATAGCTACCCAAATCATACTGTATAACCAGGGTTGAGGCATTATAAACCTTGAAGGTTCAGAAGCAGTTTATAACAAAGCACAAACTGTTCCATTAATCCAGGTTATACAAGTATAATTTGGGTATATCTATTAAATTTTATTCCTTATAATTTAATTTTCTATCATTAAGTGTAAAAAAAAGCAGGGCTCGACATTAACTTGTTTTCCTACTTGTCCATTCGGACAAGTTACCAAGACATCTACTTGTCCGAACTTTAACTTCACGTGTCCGAAAATTGTTCAATAAGGATACAATACTGTCAACTTGAAAACTACAATAAAGTCCATTACATGTGCTTGATTTGTGATGTTTTTGATAAATACATAAAAACAAAATTTCATCTAGACTTTCTATCCTAACAACAACATAAATGTTCAAAAATGAAACTGTCAACATCAAACAGAATCTAAACTTCGTAACTCGACGTAACTTTCATGCCTTTGCAGTAGTATGCAATTAGTGAACTTCGATCCCGATCGAGTGTGAACTCGATTACATAGCGATCCATATCGGGATCCAAGTTCGTTTTTATGCACTGCTTCCGTCCTTACCGATGAACTTTCAACAGATGAACAGTCATTCTTTTTATTATTTGAATACTTCTTTACATTAAAATGCACTTGTCCAATCAGACAAGTGCCCGGCAATATTCACTTGTCCGTAATTTTTTTTCACTGGTACCGGACAAGAGGACAAGCGTTAATGTCGAGCCCTGAAAAGACTATTTTCCCTTAAAAAAAAATCCTTTAATTCTACAAATTTTAAATGTAACATATAGCAGATTAATATGTTTTTGTTAATTCATTGTGAAGTATGCAAAACAAGTTTATGATAAGATATAAACAATTTTTCGCTATCCAATCAAATGGAATGTTACAACCAAAATTAATTTATTTGTTCGTAATAAGCCTAGTGATTTTAGAGACATAAAATATGTGCAAATTAATAAGACATATAATCATTTATTAAATTTTGATCTTTAGCTGGGGTGAGCTAGTAATAGTTGTAAAAAATTAAAGTCTTACTTTCTTGCCATTCACAAAAAACGTAAGTTTCCCCATGGTGTCTATATTTGTAATTAAAGTTGTTTTCTTCCCTGAAAATCTATCTTCTGTCCAGTGTGCAAGCACTTAATCTTGAAAGAAACCTGAAATAGACAAATAGATTTAATCTTAATATTGTGTAAATAAATATCTAGTTACATGTATTTAGTGATTAAGTCACAAAATGACATATGTTCATATAAAACAATTTAATAATTCTTATTATAAAAGTATATCCATAAAAATAAGGCAGAGACATGTACATAATAACAAATAAATAATTTATATTTCTGAGCATGCAGTGGTAAAGGCTGTTCTTTAAAATCTGGTAATCCCAAAGTGAAGGGGTTTTTTCCCCCACAGCAAGACCAAAAGAAAAGAAAATGTTTGTATGAAGTAGTGAGCTCTAGTAATTTGGGTATTGATATGTGTTTAAGCAAAACAAAAAGAAAGAAACAAATAAAATAAATGAATATATAAATAAAATGAAAGTAAATGTATCTCAAATTATATCTCTTCAAATGCACTTAAGTATTACAGATTGAACGTGTAATATTGCTGTGATTCCCTGAAATATGGATAAAAAAAGTTATTTTGAAGTATATATTTAAAGTATATATTGCAAATTATATCAAACATTTTCAGTTTTTTTCTACCATTTCGCAGAGTCTTGAAGTCGGGTGTTGTTTATTATGTAGTGTTCATATCCCGATCCCGATTTAATTTTTCCCTCCACGAAAAAATATCAGAGACGTATAAAAGAGCTATTCTCTGTTCATATTCATAATATACTATATTTTTCAGTTTTCTTTCAATATTATGTTTTACGGTGTGACCGTTGGGGCGAGCGCAGTTGTACCATCCAATTACACTTGTAAACTTTGATCCGCCTCTTCAAACTTCCAAACCGCACGAGACACAGTCTGGACTGTGACGTCATATGACGGAGACAGCCGAGCGTCTGGTTGAACGAGACTACAGGCCTATGGACTGTTTCACGATAACTGCGGTACTGCTCTTTTGCAGGGCAAAATGATATATTTTGGTGAAATATGACGTAAAATTAATTGTTTAATATACGTCATTTAATTATCTGTCATCAAAAACTTTGCCAAATGTTGTTATTTTGCCCTGCAAAGGAGTAGTACCGCAGTTATGTGAAAGGGCTAATTGCAAATTATGAAATACATTGTAGAGTAAATTCGCGCCGCTCGCTATAAATGCTTATGATTATTCTCACTATCTTGAGTACTTTAAATATTGTCAATCAAAGGGTGGGAGAGGGGTGGGGTGGGGAGAGCATGCATGGAGAGGGTGTCGAAACATCAAACTGAATTACTGAGATCGAATTGACCTCATTTGGAAGAGTCCAACCGTGTCCGAATCGAATTTTGCATACTTAAAGACATAGATTCGCCAGACCTTGTAAGATACTGCATCTTGGAAGAGGGGTGTATGCTAAATGTTTCTGTAATGATTTTTTAACCCTCAATATAATAATGACAAACAAATTAAGGTTGATTATTTTAGTACCTGTGGATGCTTCCCATGATAAACCTCTGCTTTTTCCACGGGTATGGTTTCACTCTCTATCATCGGCTCCTACTGAGAGAGTCTGCAAATGGGACTGGTATCATAATATTGCTTTATCAAAAGCACTTCTGGTTTTGACACAATCCTCGATCGCTCAGTTCAAAGTTCAAGATGTAAATTCATCGAAACTTCTATTTGTGAAAATTCTTTGCGTTGTAAAATAAAATTATAATGAGCATAAATTAAAAACAAGAAAAAGATTTATTATACCTCAATGAAATGTCACTATTAATCAATAAATGTACTGGCTACTGCGATGACAGATGTTAGCCCCCCCCCCCCAATCCATGCGTTCTCGTGGGTAGCGTTGCCAAGCAGTTAAGTTGTTGGTCGTGCAGAAAAGTGTACTCACTTTGAACAATGCTTTCTCACATTGCACTAAAAGCATAAACTTACCATAGATCTATATACATATAAGTAGCACTATCAGAGTATCGCCGTACACAGAATCAGAGTAGAATTCTTGATTTCTCGGTTCTTACAGCTTCCAGGCTTCCCGTCAAAATTTGTATGAAATAAATCTGCAACAGATTGTCACATATATTTTAAATTATAGTCCAAGTTTTCATATTTTTATAGACGACTATAGAAAACAACAGGTCCATGAACCACAACGCTCACGTAAGTCACTTTGGCCCTACTGTTCTGCATCAGATTTTTTCCCCAATATACATGTATTCCATGGAAGCTTCCACATAAGTTTCAGATTTTCTAGTCCAGTGGTTCAGATGATTTTTAAAGATTTTTTCCTATGTTTTTCAATATAAATCTTTGATTCCCTATTGTGGCCTCACCCTACCCCCGGGGACCATGATTTGAACAATTTAGAATATACACTACCTTAGGAAGCCTCCACCTAAGTTTCAGCTTTTCTGGCCCAGTGGTTCTTGAAAAGAAGATTTTTTTTTTATGACACCACCCAATTTTTGTTTGCCTTTTCTTGATTATCTCCCCTTGGAAGGAGACTTGGCCCTTCATTTCAACAATTTAGAATCCCCATTACCCAGAGATGCTTTGTACTAACTTAAGTTAAAATTGGCCCAGTGGTTCTTGAGAAGAAGTTGAAAATGTGAAAGGTTTACAGACGGACGGACGATGGAGAAGAGGTGATCAGAAAAGCTCACTTAAGCTTTCAGCTCAGGTGAGCTTATTATAAAACGATATCACCAGGGTTGACCTTCTTTTAATGTTGGAATACTAAAATCAACTAAAGATTAAGCTTCTAGATTAATTTTACGAATGCTTTCGACAGCATTTCTAATTGCATCATTTAGATTTAGGGGTCTTGCTTGTTTTACTCTCAGTCTCATGTCAGAGCTCAAGTCCAGAAGAGCATCGATAAAAATCGATAAACTGTTCTTTTACCAGTCTTTCTTGTACATCCCTTGGTGCAGTATAGTATGCCAAGTTTGTGAGTTTTTCTATGGTCCTAGTTCTGGCAAAGTTTCTATCGCTTGTTGTCTTTGTTGTCGTCACTGACTTGTATATACATTGTCAAGTATTTTGATTTGGGAGGGCAAATCTCTCCTCTAAGGCATTAAAAAGCGAGACAAAGTCACATAGCTTCAATTCCCATTGTAAATATATATTTAATTAATGGGGGAAAGGTAAGCACCCTCCCGTTTCTACAGGCCGATATAAAATTAAATTTACTTTTTTTTATGAACATGCCGTCCCCAGTAGAACTGCTAAGAGTAAAGTAAAAAAGAGAGAGTAATTTTAGGATTTTAGTTAAATGTATATCAAGATTTATTGTCTGAGGCATCTGTTTCATATTTGTATGTTTTACTAGAAAATGATACTGATGGCAAACTGAAGCTAAACTTTATGATAAAAATGATGACTTCAACTTTTCTATCGTCAACTTCCCTTATTTATATAGCAATATACCATTACCACCTGCATATGTTTATGTCTCCCAGTTGATTCGATACGCAAGAGCATGTTCTACGTACGAACAATCTCTAAAAAGAGACAAGCTTTTGACAAATAAGTTGATGATACAAGGATATCAACAATCTCCTTTAAAGTCAACATTTCGCAAATTCTCTATGACTTTTTATGCAAATTCAATCTGTCGATATAAGTCGAATGTTGCATGACATATTTCATACAAATTGTTCGGCTATCATTTTCACACTGAATTCTCTACTGATTTTTTCCCATTTTCCCTATCATGACAAGGAGCACACGATGGGTTTGATCGGTCGACAGGAGAAGCTTACTCCTCCATGGCACCTGATCCCACATCTGTTCTTAGAGCGCTGCTCATATTTTGTACATGCATTATATTAATAAGTATAAATGTACAAATCATATAATTTACGCTTTATTCACATACTCTAGGCGTATGTATGAGCATGAACTCCATGTTGACGGAGATTGAAACAAAGGCAGAGAGCAACTTCCTGGAGTCCCGCCTGAGAGTTATTCACAACCACAGTAAGCAAGACAAGAACACCGATTTCATCCGAGTTCTTAAATGTATTATTATCTTATTTCCTTTATTTCATTAGCTTCATCAGCAGATCAAAACGAAGTTTCTTATTGGTTGGGTGGAAATGATATTGAAATAGAGGGGGTATTTAAGTGGGTGAAATCTGACGCACCATTGACATTCACGGATTGGAATCCAGGACAACCTGATGACGCTAAAGGCGAGGACTGTATGGAGCTTAGGGGAGATTTCCATTACCACTGGAATGATCTTCCTTGCACCATTCCTCACCACTTTATCTGTGAATCATCGTGAGTTTACATTCACCCCTACTGCACAGAAGTTAATTTATATATAAACGGTAAAAATTGTGCTTAGGAAATAAACACTTCCATTACGTGTTTAGATCTAAACATGTTTGATTTTGTGTTTAACAACTAAACACTTGAGTCTTAATGTATTTAAAATCTATACGCGTTTAGATATTGAACATGTTTTTGTTTTAAATTCGGTCAAGTGCAGAGTTATCTTCCCGGAAATGATATATATATTTGAACGTTTATAAGCGCGGTTGTCGAAACAAAGAAAGTCACAACAAAACAGTAAACGATATTTTCAAGGAAACTGGTGAGATTTTGAGTGACAGTGATCGCAGAAATAGTGAAATACACATGAAAGGCTTCTTGTTACTTCTATAGAGGGTATGTATGATTTTGTTTAAATAAAATTTACATGTAGAGCAAGGTAAACAACATTGCTTTTTATATCCAGGATGTCTTTGGATGCCATATCATGTATTCACTAATGAGAGTAAATATTGAATCTAAAGATGCATAAATATCGATTAAAACATTTTTATTATATGCTCAATAGTTAATGTAAAACTTTAGCATGTTTAGTAAGGAGCACATACTGCTACTTAAATGCATCGTACGTTCTTTCTTACAGGTTAAATTTATTGGATAGCCGAGGGAGGAACTTCAAAATTCATTTCTGTTAATGGATGTGGAAGATGGATTACACATACTGCCATAGAAAATACTTTCAACATTATCCAGATACTTTGCTGTTTTGTTTACATCACGGCGGATTTAAAATAGTGAACCGCATTCCATAACATCGCAAGAAGCACACCATACATTTGTACCTGGAGTCTAAAGACTGTATTGTATATTGTAAATACAATTTTAACTTTGTATTGTGCTACTGTCTTAAAATGCAGACAGTTTAACAACTGGGTGTTTCTAACTCTTTAGATATAAAAAGGATCATATGTCAAAACTTCTGTAAGACTGTGCAAAAAAATTGAAAACCATTCACAGGAGAAAGGAGTTCCGCCGAACGATGACTCCGTGAGAACACTTTACTGTGTGTTAGGTTTTTTTTAGCATTTGAATATGATGTTTATAACTAAATAAAACTTATAATGGACACGCCTGTTATATTTTCAGTTTTCTTGCATATCCTTGTTTAAAACATTGAAGTGTTTAGGTTCTAAACGCAAATCTAAACGGTTGAGAATTGTGTTTAAAATCTAAACATGTAAGCATTTAGGTTCAAAACACTTTCCATTACGCGTATTGAAATTAAACATGTTTAGAATTTAAACGCATTAAAAAAAGTGTGACAAGGTTGTGTTTAGAAATGTGTCTATCATCTAAACACATTTTTTACAGTGATATATATAGATATAGATATATATATAGATAGATAGATAGATAGATAGATAGATAGATATAGATATATAGATATATATATATATATATATATATATATATATATATATATATATATATATATATATATATATATATATATATATATGGTTATCTTATACTCTTTGAGGGGTTTATAAATACTTTTTTCTTTATTTTTTACAGAGCGTTTGAAGCGCCTATCATAGGAAAGTGAGGATAATTAATAAAACATGTTACAATACTACTTTCTTCTGTTCTCTACCAGTATTCTGAATTGATATTATAGATTCGTATATTATATGCATGTATGGAATAAATTCTTATCCTAACTTTGGCGATCGAACAAGGTCGATCACAGTTGATGCCGTTCCTTGATACAGATACATAAAAACCTGGTGGACACATGAAGCGTTTTACAATGCAGGGGCGGATCCAGCGATTTTTGAAAGGGGGGTTCCAGGGTGGTGACCTTCACCCCCCCCCCCACACCCACACACCCACACCCACACACTCTCAAACATAGATTCACACACACACACACACAGAAATTCTTAGGTTTGGTAAATAATATATTTGATTTACGTTGAAAAGCCCCCACGCCCCCCCCCCTCCTGCAGTCCGAATAAAAAACAAACTCATTCCAAAAACTACCTGGAGTCTTAAAATTGAATGGATTTGCAGCATTTCTAAAGAAAAAAACATAGATTTTTCTATTTAGAATTTAAAAAAAGTTTGTTTTCTTTGGTAGGTTTTGAAAACCTATGTAAAACGAAGAATTACATATTATTTACTGTGGCCTTCTGCATATTCCCTTTATTGACTTATTTAATTTAGTTCCTTCAAAAGCTAATCGGAAAATGGTACATATATATAACAAAGATCGCCGGAATCCGATATCAAAATTAAACCTCGCATGTTACTTATCATATATTGAAATAAGTAGAATATTTTATTCCATTCATTCATAAATAAAAACGCTGAAAGAGAGGAATAGTGAAGGTAAATGGGGGAGAGGAAAATTTGTGAGACTATCTAATAGCAAGTGGAATATGACCGACCGTTCGATTTGTTTTGAACTACGTTTTTATTTAAAACTTTATTTAGACGTACAAATTTCTATTCCAGCAAACGGTTTATTCTCTCTATCTCTCTCTCTCTCCACTCGGCATAAAATAAAGGGGGGGGTTCCAACCCCCGGAACCCCCCCTCTGGATCCGCCAATGCAATGATTTTATTTTGCTACTCGATTTATAATTTAACATTTCTCCCGCCAAGGAAGAATAAAATGGTCATGTTTCATTTATCATGTTGGTCGGTCTGCATGCCCACTCAAAAAAGAAAAGAAAATGGAGAAAAAGATGTGGAGTCAAAGAATTTATAGGATACGACGTGCCCTATATATTGCAAGAAAGAAATGATCAAAATAATGAGCTAGTAATTACAAATGTGGATACGTGAACTTGATCTTAAATATTCTTCATAATTGACAAAAAAATGCAGCCAAGAGAGAGAGAGAGAGAAAGGGGGGGGGGAGAAAGAAATAAGTCGGTGTATATTTGTGATTGGGTTTGACCCTCGACTGTGGAAAGTTACTATAGTATTTGAGGATATCCGATCCTCAGCCAGGAAGGATAACACTATAATAAAAATTTATTATTTATTGAGATCTTTTCGTGCAACAATTTTCATTTTATGCATCTTAATATGATTCAAGGTTCTTTAAAGTCTTAGAAACGGTCTTGTAAAAAGTATGTCAAAATACAAGATATTTATTCGTACATGCAAGCTAATTATGTTGCATACAGGTTTTCTATCTTTTTAGAGATTCTGATTTTAATAACGGTAAATTTACTATCTGACATAATATATGCAATACTAATTTGACATGCGACTAATTTTAACATGCAATTAATTTTTTGATGCCAATTTATGACAACATGCGATAATTATGCAGAGATGCGACTCAATTATGATAATATTCTGGATAATTATGTCATGCCAAATAGTTATGTTGACATGCGAGTTAATGATGTCAATATGCGAAGTAGTTATCATGATGACATGCGACTGACTTATTATCTTGCATGTTAGCATAAATAAGTTGTATTTCAACATAATTATTATTTCGTATGTTGTACATACATGTATGTAAATATATGATTAACTCGCATGTTGACGTAAATAAATCACGAGTCGATATAGATATGCTGCGAGTCGACTTAATTAACTCGCATGTCAACATAAATAAGCTTAAGTCGCATGTCGACATATATGTATTATGTTGCATTTTGCATGTATGATGTCAGATACTGGTGTTTGTAAGTTATGGCGGCATATTTCTGCCCCTTATATGCAAGTTATTTATCTATACTAAGACTATGTTGACATGAAATATAATTTTGTCAAAGTGTAACATAAATATGTCTACATGCAACATAATGTGTTGCCATGCAATAATAATGTGATCACAGAAAAATTTGGAAAAAGGAATAAATTGTCAAATATCGCCCATATGTGACTTCCAAAATGCAATTTGCAACTTATTTAGTCGACATGCAACTATTTATGTTTACATGTACTTGCAACTTACTTATGTGGTCACTCAACTTATTTCATTAATAAGTGGCATGTCAATATATTTATCTTGCAGATCAACGTAAAGAAGTTGCATGTCAACATAAATAAGTTTAATGCCACAATAGATAAGTTGCATGCCGACATGAACATGTTGGAAGTCACATGTTGACGATATTTGAAAATATAAGAAATTTTCCAATTTTTTATCTGTTTTTATTTTTCTTGCATGTCAACATAGTTAAGTCGCATATTGACATATTTTGCATGTTGACATATATATATTGCATGTCGACATAATCTCCAGAAAAAATAATTTGCATGTAGGGGGCAGAGATATGCCACCATATTAAATAAATATATATCAAAATAAGATTCTCTAAAAGGATTGGTAACATGTTGACATAATTATCTTGCATGTACACATATTTATATCTTGCATGTTGACATACTTTCTCGCATGTTGACATAATTTATCTTGCACTTAGGGGAAATTCACTGGCAAGCAAAAATAGATAATGGGCAGTCTATACATCCCTGGTCAAAGCTTTTTATTTTTACCGTAAAGTTAAGAACAGTCATAAAGATTCCAAACCCTTTTTCAACTGACCCGCACGTGGAACAGTAAATCAAGCATGGAATGTAATACACATTACATAATGGAAGTTCACCAGATTTCATAAGGTTCCATTACTGGTTAATTCTTCTTAAATTACTTGCAGGCTACTGTGATTGTCAACATTCTTTCCGTTGTCTGCGCTGCATGGCGCAGTGGTTAGAGTGTTTGTTCTAGAGTAGCAGAGTAAGGAGTCGATCCTTACGTCGCGGGTTCGAATCCACTGTGTGACGTGTATGCGGATCCTTCGGATGAGACCGTATAAACTGGGGTTCCGTGTCGCAGTGGGTGCTGGCACGAAAAAGATCCCTCATTGCTCAAAGACATAAGTGCCGATTTGCAGCCCTCCAAAGACTCAAGTGAGCTTTTCTGTCGTTGGCATCGTCGTATTTAAAAATTGATCATTTTTGCCCTCTTTGGTGTGTATATGCTATTTCATAGACGAATAATTTCAATCTTTGTGAGATTGTTGCAAATTGTAGAGAGTTTACATAAAGTATACGTTAATGTTAAATGAAATATCAAAGAAAGTTATGTCATAATTGAGATTTAAATTCCTCTTTCTTGTTTGTCATACAATAGATATTTTGCTCGTCTTGTTCGCCCAACTTCTTTTGACCCTTGAGGTTGGAATAGACCACATTGTGCGAAAGTTTGCATAGGAAAAATGTTTTAAAATCTCAAAAATAGCAAAGCCATGATTAATGGAAGCATCCTCAAGTAGTGTAGATTCAAGTTTGTTCACATCATGACCCCCGGGGAAAAGGGTGGGTTCACAATTGGCAAATAACTTGTTACATGGGAATACATAAAAAAGGTTTTTCTTCTCAAGATTAACAAAGTCATGATGAATTTATTTAACGAAAGCATTCTAAGATAGTGTACATTCAAGTTTGTTGAAATTATGACCCCTGGGGTAGGATGGGGTCATAATACGTGAGCAAAGTTATAGGGAAAATAATCTGATGATGACGAACAGCAGGGTCATAGTATCTCAGGTGAGTGTTGTGGCTCATGGGCCCCTTGCTTATTGGATCGAGAAAAATTAAATAGAAAGGAATTTGTTTATTTAATTTATGAATTATTTTTTGTTTTCTGATGATGATCAGTTTGCTCACGTGATCATTTTATGCATAAACGCCTTAATTGCGTTTAGGTGTATTATCAAACGAGCAAATTTTTTATCACATCAATTGCAAAAAACCAAATCACTAGACAGTTATTCCTTAAGCAGCACAATGCTCCGTATTAAAAAAAAAAAGACACACAAAATGTTACAAGGTAAAATTCAAGCAAATCATCAAATCGGCCGCAAAAATTTCTAATATTTTAAAGTGTTGCCTCAAGATTCCAAAGAAAATGCCTATGAAATTTTAATAGGATTTTTCTTTACAAAGTATATTTATGCTTCAGTGTTAATGCAAGGGCTGTGCTCTTATACGTTTGAAAATTCTTTGTATAATGTTCTTAAAATAGCCATTTTTATGAATTCAATAACTACTTTTTTAAGCACCGTTTTCCCATCAACTCTCAGGAAGAAATCACTTGTATGTTGTTAAAGTTTTTAGTCTCTTTTTTCATTGTAATTATGAAATTGCAAATTTGTCTAAATGATTAATATGAAGATTAACGAGGCTATGTTGTGTAATATGTTAAGTAGCTAATCCCAGTATAAATAACCCCCGCCCAAATCATTTTTGTACCGATAAATATCCACAAACATCTTCAATATTTTCTGTCTTCTGAAAAAAAAAATTATTCGGGGAATTTAAGTACATGCTCCCTTACTTATATTAAGCTCTTAACACTACATGTAACATAAAATGTTTTTTGGACTTGGGGAAAATTATTTCATATAAAGGTGTACATACTGAATTCATCTAGTTCACTTTCAACATAGGTACCTACCATATTTCCCCAGAAAAAATGTTCAAAGACAATGAAGTGGTAAGTGAACAGAAATTACTGCTGTTTACTTTACATTGGGAAGATACACACAAATAATTTATTTAATTACTTTTAAT